ATAGATTCAGTGCCATCCCCATCAAGCTACCAATGAGTTTCTTCACAGAATTGGAAAAAACTGCTTCAAAGTTCATATGGAACCAAAAAAGAGCCCTCATTGCCAAGACAATCCTCAGTCAAAAGAACAAAACTGGAGGCATCATGCTACCTGACTTTAAACTATACTAGAAGGCTACAGTAACCAAAACAGCATGGTACTGGTACCAAAACAGAGATATAGACCAATGGAACAGAACAGAGCCCTCAGAAATAATACCACACATCTGCAACCATCTGATCTTTGACAAACCTAAGAAAAACAAGAAATGGGGAAAGGATTCCCTATTTAATAAATGGTGCTGGGAAAATTGGCTAGCCATAAGTAGAAAGCTGAAACTGGATCCTTTCCTTACTCCTTATACGAAAACTAATTCAAGATGGATTAGAGACTTAAATGTTAGACCTAATACCATAAAAACCCTAGAAGAAAACCTAGGTAATACCATTCAGGACATAGGCATGGGAAAGGACTTCTTGTCTAAAACACCAAAAGCAACGGCAACAAAGGTCAAAATTGACAAATGGGATCTAATTAAACTAAAGAGCTTCTGCACAGCAAAAGAAACTACCATCAGAGTGAACAGGCAACCTACAGAATGGGAGAAAATTTTTGCAATCTACTCATCTGACAAAGGGCTAATATGCAGAACCTACAAAGAACTCAAACAAATTTACAAGAAAAAAACAACCCCATCAAAAAATGGGCAAAGGATATGAACAGACATTTCTCAAAAGAAGACATTCATACAGCCAACAGACACATGAAAAAATGCTCATCATCACTGGCCATCAGAGAAATGCAAATCAAAACCACAATGAGATACCATCTCACACCAGTTAGAATGGCGATCATTCAAAAGTCAGGAAACAACAGGTGCTGGAGAGGATGTGGAGAAATAGGAACACTTTTACACTGTTGGTGGGATTGTAAACTAGTTCAACCATTATGGAAAACAGCATGGCGATTCCTCAAGGATCTAGAACTAGAAGTACCATATGACCCAGCCATCCCATTACTGGGTATATACCCAAAGGATTATAAATCATGCTGCTATAAAGACACATGCACACGTATGTTTATTGTGGCACTATTCACAATAGCAAAGACTTGGAATCAACCCAAATGTCCATCAGTGACAGACTGGATTAAGAAAATGTGGCACATATATACCATGGAATACTATGCAGCCATAAAAAAGGATGAGTTTGTGTCCTTTGTAGGGACATGGATGCAGCTGGAAACCATCATTCTCAGCAAACTATCGCAAGAACAGAAAACCAAACACCACATGTTCTCACTCATAGGTGGGAACTGAACAATGAGATCACTTGGACTCGGGAAGGGGAACATCACACACTGGGGCCTATCATGGGGAGGGGGGTAGGGGGAGGGATTGTCCTGGGAGTTATACCTGATGTAAATGACGAGTTGATGGGTGCTGACGAGTTGATGGGTGCAGCACACCAACATGGCACAAGTATACGTATGTAACAAACCTGCACGTTATGCACATGTACCCTAGGACTTAAAGTATAATGAAAAAAAATATAGCCAGGCATGGTGGTGTGCACCTGTAGTCCCAGTTACTCGGGAGGCTGAGGCAGGAGGATTGCTTCAATCCAGGAGTTCAAGGTTACAGTGAAGTATGATTGTAGCAGTGCACTCCAGCCTGGGTGACAGAGTGAGACCCTGTCTGTAAAACAATTAAAAAAAAAAAAGGTGCAGAATTTTATTATAGATTACTGTGCTATGTATTTTTGGAAATCATACTTTTAGGTAAAGGGTACAGCTTCCAGGAGAAGAGGCCAAAACAAACTATGAATTGCAGCGACCTAATCTTTCATTTGTATTACTCCACCTGCTACTGTTTCCCTCATTGAGCTGTTTTCTGAGTTGAGCTTAATGCCATGACAACCCCTGAGTATAAATGGCAGCCTTGACCCAACATGAGTAGATGGAGCCTTTGTTTTCCAGTTTTCATGGGTACTGATGGGCTTGGACTGAGCCCTGCCCACTTTGACCTCCCATATCTGGTACCCAGTGGTCAGAATAAGGCTTGTTGTCACTGACTCTAGAACACACCTTCCCAAGCTCCCAGATCTACAATGCAGGCTCAGGGGCTAGGAATGAAGACTCATTGTCATAGTCTGTTTGGGCTGCTGTAGCAAAATATCATAAGCTGAGGTGGTTTATGAACAACAGAAACTTACTTCTCACAGTTCTGGAGGTCGGGAAATCCAAGATCAAGGCCCCAGCAGATTCAGTGTCTGGTGAGGGTTTGCTTCCTGATTCATAGATTAGCTGTCTTTTCACTGTAACCTGACATCATGGAAGGGACAAGAGAGCTCTCTTGGGCCTCTTTTAAAAGGGCACTAATCCCATTCACAAGAGCTCTACCCTCATGACCTAATCACTTCCCAAAGGCCCCAGTTCCTCATACTACACCTTGGGGATTAGAATTTCAACATAGAAATTTTGGGGGGATACAAATATTCAGTTCATAGCACTTATATGGCTTGAAAATATGTCAGTAATTTGCTATCTTGTTAATAAAAATTTATTTTTAAAAGTTTAAGAATTGTAAAATATAGGACAAAACCCTGGATCTTTCCCTATCCTTGATTTAATAAGGCTTCAGTACACAAAAATGTCATATATTTGCTTACAATTCACAAATTCTGTGGTGCCAATAATTTATGAATAGGGCATAACTAAGCAGCATAGAGAAGTCCTGGGAAGATTGGATATAGTGTGCCTGGCCTTTTAAAAGATAGCCATTTGAGCCGGGCACGATGGCTCATGCCTGTAATCCCAGCACTTTAGGAGGCTGAGATGGGAGGATCACTTGAGATCAGGAGCTCAAGAACAGCCTAGGCAACATAGCTAGACCTTGTCTCTACAAAAAAAAAAGAAAAAGAAAAGAAAAACTAGCTGGGTTGTGGCAGTAGTCCCAGCTACTTGGCAGGCTGAGGTGGGAGGGATTGCTTGAGCCTTGGAGGTTGAGGCTGCAGCGAACCACAATTGCACCACTGCACTCCAGCCTAGGCAACAAAGTGGGACCCTGTCTTAAATAAATAAATGCATGAATGAGAGAGAGAGAGAGAAAGAAATAGAGAAAGATAGCCGTTTGAAATGTGAGGCCACTGTCAGAGTTGCAAGGGGCAATCTTAAAGGCTCCAAGAAAGGATTAACCAGTAGATATTGTTAGCATTTTAGCCAGAGACATCACATCGTTGATTTAGTTCATCTAAGAACAAGGATGCCAGTGAGAACCAGCAGAGTTAGTTTCCAGAGGTTTCTGAAGCAGTAATATTCTGATGGGATTCCTTAGAAGAGTTGTGTGTTTCTATGAGAGCAATCCTTAAGATGGAGAGAGAAGCAAATCTTAATCCACGGTATCTGAGTGTAATTCCTTAATTAAGCTAATGTAATAGCCTGGTGAAGAAAACAGTTTCAGGTGGAGTTTGGACAGTCCTGGATTGACCATTGTTCTAACAGAAAAGCCTGTTGCTAGTCTAGTAAAGTAGTAAAGCTAAACTAAAAAATAAACTTGTCTACCAGTGATCCTGATATGATCACTCTGGAGACGTGAAGATTTGTAATGATAGTGTGCACACAGCACTCTGATTGAAGAATAGGTTTTTAAGTAAACTGACTTAAATACCAGTATGCTGGGTAGTACTGTTTGGCTTTGCTTCATTTAGTAGGTGATGAATATTTTACTGTGTTTTTACATTAGTTCTGGCACATGGTAAGCCCTCAGTACATGCCTGCTGTTATGGTGATTATTATCGCTTCCAGATCATCTCATGGCCACAACACGCCAGCTACTGACTAGAACCTGCTGGCAATGGTAATAGTCTTCATTGGAATTCTGCAAAACTCCATCAAGAATTACCTAAAACAATCAAGATGATCTGTAGTTTTGCTTCCTCACTCTGCCAATATGGTGAATTACAGTAATTGATTTGCTTTGTAACATAGATTTTCATATGTTAAGCCAGTCTTACGTTCCTAAAGTAAACCCCACTTGGTCATGTTGTATTACCTTGTTAAAATATGTTGCCAGGTTCAGCTTGGTCATTTACACTGGTAAGAAGTCAGGGGTGCTGTAATCCCAGCACTTTGGGAGGCTGAGGCGGGTGGATCATGAGGTCAGGAGTTTGAGACCAGCTGGACCAACATGGTGAAACCCCGTCTCTACTAAAAATACAAAAATTAGCTGGGCGTGGAGGCGTGTGCCTATAATCCCAGCTACTCAGGAGGCTGAGGCAGGAGAATCACTTGAACCCGGGAGGCAGAGTTTGCAGTGAGCCAAGATGGCACCATTGCACTCCAGCCTGGGGGACACAGTGAGACTCTGTCTCAAAAAAAAAAAAAAAGAGAATTCAGGGCTGTATGGTCATGGAGTTGTCTTTGCAGGAAGGTTCTTAACTAGGAGTTGTTTATTTAATAGATGCAGAGCTATTCGGATTTTCTATTTCTTCTTGAGTCACTTTGGGTACATGTTATGACTGGATCTACTGCTCCCCCTACCCCCAGCCTGGGATGTGGCTGCAGCGGGGAAGCTGGCATAATAGCAGGGCTCCCCTCATTTGTTTCCCTTCTCTCAGGGTCACAGTCCAGTACTGCCTGTTGCCAATGTCTGAAAACAGTCATTTCTTACATTGTATCCAGCTTGCTAGATGTTTCTGGCAGAAGGGTGAGTCTGGGCTCTCTTCTACCGCCATGGTGAGAAGTGGAAGCTACATAAGCTTTTCTGGGCATTGAGTACGACAAATTGAGTTGCTTCTGGTTGTTTCTCAGCCAGATCTATAAGTTTGGACTTAAAACTGTAGGTAGTTGAACTTTACTTGGGCTCAGTCTTCCTTTAAATCTTTGACTATATTCCAAGTTATAGTTTCACTGTCTTTCATACAAAAGTAATATTACTTTTAGAAATTGGACTCTATGACTAAACCTTGTTTTTCTCTTCATTTAAGTTTCCTTCAGCATTCGAGTTTAATGAGCTATTCTTGATTACAATTTTGGATCACCTTTATAGCTGTCTTTTTGGGACCTTTTTGTGCAACTGTGAACAGCAGCGATTCAAAGACGTGAGTATACTGTGTCCTTGTCTGTTGCTTTCCGTGTGGCTCAGGCACCTCTTCTAGGAAGTGCCACTGTAGGAGGGCTGAGGGGAGGGAGGACTGTGCTCTGGTGCTATTGCTGACTGTAAATGCACTCCCAGGGTTCTGGCCAGCCCCACCGCATGTATCTAACACAAGCCCCTTCCTTTCTAGGCATGGGGGGCTGGGACCCAGCGAGCCCATGGCTCTTTCAGGAGTAGATGAGTGCTAGACCCTGGACCTCCTGACTCCAAGTTCATGTAGTCTCCACTGCACCAACTCCAAAGCTGTGGGATTCTGCTTTTCGTCCTCTGTGGTGTTAGCCAGATTGTACTTGAAGGCCTTGGAAATGGAGTCTGCCGATTAGCCAAAAAGCCCACTTTAGGTAGCAAGCTAACACTTTTTTACATCAAAGTAGTAAAGAAGCAGTTACCAAACTTCTCAGAGTTACGTCTCGCCTCTTTCTTCTTTCCTCAGTGTGGGATAGAAGAAAGACGTGGTCAAAAGTGAGAAGACATTGGAAAAAGGCAACTTAAGGAGTATGGTCCTGTTAATAGACAAGGACTACTGCCTGTGAGCTGAGTATGTTAGGACAATATAGAATTCAGGAGAAAACAGTCTGTCAGTAACACCCACCTCCCCCTCTCTCAGCAGCGTCCCCACAGTTGACAGCACCTTCATTCTGTGACCCCACCTTGTCCTGCCTCTTCCCTGCCTCCTTGGCCTCCCCTGCTCAGTCTCCTCTGACTGGCTGCCATTTTAACCAGTCTCTAAAGTTGGAGTCACCTGGGCCCAGTCCCAGGTCCTCTTCTCCCCTCAACTCTTGTTCTGTCTTTCTAGGTGACTTTGTCTTGCCTCAGGGACCTAAATGCCTTTTCCTGCTCCTCCCCTGCTCAGTACACAGCACCACTGGCCATCCAGATGCCAAGGCCAAATACACAGGAGTCAGCTTCCACTCCTTCCTCACCCTCACTCTGGCTACCACACCCAGTCCCTTGGTGAATGCTGCTGACCTTGTCCTAAAGTATATATATTTTATTTGAGATGGCGTTTTGCTCTTGTTGCCTGGGATGGAGTATAGTAGTGCGATCTCGGCTCACTGCAAGCTCTGCCTCCTAGGTTCAAGCGATTCTCCTACCGCAGCCTTCCGAGTAGCTGGGATTACAGGCACCCACCACCACACCTGGCTAATTTTTTGTATGTTTAGTAGAGACAGGGTTTCGCCATGTTGGGCAGGCTGGTCTTGAACTCCTGACCTCAGGTGATCCACCTGTCTCAGCCTCCCAAAGTGCTAGGATTACAGGCCCAAAGTATATTCTTAATCTGCCACTTCTTAACTGCCTTACAGCTATAAGCCTAGCTCAAGCCCCTACTGTCTCATGCCCCTACTGTCTCACATCTGGACTAAGGCAGAAACCCAGGAATGGGCTTCCCTGATTCTCTTTCTGACCTTCAGTAGTCCATTCTAAACATAGCAACCAGCGGGAGCATTCAGTAACTGAAATCTGATCATGTGCCTCTCCCCTGCTTCCCACTGCAGTTAGAGTAAAATCCACACTGCTGCAGGCCCAGCGTGATGGGGACTTGTTAACCTCCTAATAAAAACAAAAACATTTTTAAAAGAGTGATTTTATGTTATGTGAATTATATCTCAAAGCCATTTAAAACAAATAAAACCAGAAACAGAAGAATGAAGTTCATATACAGACTTTTAACCATGGTTTTATCTTTTTTTTTTTTTTTTTTTTTTTTTTTTGAGAGGAGGAGTGCAAAATTCATTCTTAAATGAGCTCTCTTGATACATAATTTACATACCGTAAAATTCACCCATCTAAAATGTACAATTTCATGGTTCTAGCATATTCACATATTTTGCTGCCATTACCAATATCTAATTTCATGAAATTTCTTTATTTTTATTTCTATTTTTTGTAGTGATGGGAGTCTTGCTATGTTGCCCAGGCTGGTCTCAAACTCTTGGCCTCAAGTGATGCTCCTGCCTTGGCCTCCCAAAGTGCTGGGATTATAGGTGTAAGCCACTGTGCCTGGCCTAATTTTATAAAATTTCTGTCACCCCCAAAAGAAATGGCATACTCAGTAGCAATTACTTCCCATTTTCCCCACCCTTATCCCCTAGCAACCATCAATCTGCTTTCTGTCTCTATGGATTTGCTTATTCTGGACATTTCATAGAAATGGAATTATACAACAGGTGAACGTCTATGACTGTCTTCCTTCGCTTAGCATAACGTTTTCAAGGTTCATCTATGTACCAATATATCCTTGTTATGGCTGAGCAATATTCCATTATATGGATAGACTGCATTTTGTTTATCCATTCACTGGTTGATAGAAATTTGGGTTGTTTCCACATTTTGGCTTTTAGGAATAATGCTACTATAACCATTCATGTACAAGTTTTTATGTGGACATATGCCTTCATTCATTTATACCTGCGAGTGGAATTGCCGGGTCATATGGCAACTTCATTTAACCTATTGAGAAACTACCAGATTGTTTTCCAAAGCAGTTGCACACACGAGCAATGTCTGAGGCTTCCAATTTCTCCACATTTCACCAACACTTACTATTTTCCTTTTTAAAAAATTATAGCCATCCTAGTGAGTGGGAAGTGGTATGTTGTGGTTTTAGATTTGCATTTCCCCAACGACTAATCATGTTGAGCATATTTCCATGTGCTTATTGGCCATTTGCATATCTTCTGTGGAGAGTGTGTATTCAGATCCTTAGTTCATTTTAAAATTGTGTTGTTTGTCCTTTTTATTATGGAGTTGTAAGAGTTCCTTATACATTCTTTGTATATTCAAGTCCCTTATAAGATACATGATTTGCAAAAATTTTATCCCACTCTATGGGTTTTGTTTTTTTTTTTTTTACTTTCTTCATGGGTGTTCTTTGAAGCACAAAATGTTTTCATTTTGATAAAGTGCAATTTCTTTTTTCTCTTGCTGCTTACACTTTTGGTATCATATCTAAGAAACCATTGCTTAACCCAAAGTCATGAAGATTTGCTCCTATGTTTTCTTCTAAGAACTTTATACTTTTAGCTCTTACATTGAGGTCTGTGATCCGTTTTGAGGTAACATTTGTATACGGTGTGAATTAAGGATCCAACTTCATTCTTTTGTGTGTTGGCTTTCTAGCTGTCCCAGCACCATTTGTTGGAAAGATTTTCTTTCCCTCATTCAATTTTCTTGCCACCCTTGTTGAAGATCAGTTGACCGTAAATGTCAGAGAGTTCATTTCTGTGCTTTCTGTTCTGTTCCATTGATCTGCATGTCTGTCCTTACGCCAGCACCACTGGCATTGATTACTGTAGCTTTGTGATAAGTTTTGAAAATGGGAAGTATGAGCCTTCCTACTTTGTTCTTTTTCAGGATTATTTTAGCTCTTCCAGATCCTTTGAATTATTGTTGGTGTTTCTCTTATAAATAAATGTATAAAAATTGAAATGGTCCTAATTGAATGTTCCTGTATTTAGATAGCTCATGGGAAGTCAGCAGCAGAATGGGAGAAAATGCTGTTGGCCTTGCCATTTTCTCATTTGACTTTGTCGTTGTGCTTGATCCATTGTTTAATATTTACCTGCCTCACCATGCCTGCACATTTGGGTGTTTTTGTTCAGATGAGCAATGCAAGTAGGTGCAGTGTTTCTGAATAGTGTACTACAAAATTAGGGGAAGAAGAGATAACTTAGTGATATATTTACTTGTCTTTATAAAGCTTCTCCAGCCTGCCACCACAGCACATTTTCCTCCAGATAGCTCTGATTTTCCAGCACAAGGAATCTTAACTGTAAATTCTATTCTCATTTCTCAATATTAAGAGTCACAGCCGGGCGTGGTGGCTTGCACCTATAATCCCAGCACTCTGGGAGGCCGAGGTGGGAGGATCACTTGAGGTCAGGAGTTCAAAACCAGCCTGGGCTACACGGTGAAACCCCATCTCCACCAAAAAATACAAAAATTAGCTGGGCGTGGTGGTGTGTGCCTGTAGTCCCCAGCTACTCAGGAGGCTGAGGCAGGAAAATTGCTTGAACCTGGGAGGCCAACATTGCAGTGAGCCGAGATTGTGCCACTGCACTCCAGCCTGGGTGACAGAATGAGACTCCATCTCAAAAAAAAAGGAGTCACAAAAGCTCTATTTTCTTTTAGAGGCAGGGTCTTGCTCTATTGCTTAGGCTGGAGTACAGCAGCACAGTCATAGCTCACTACAGCCTCAAACTCCTGGCCTCAAGCAATTCTGCCACCTCAGCCTCTTGAGGAGCTGGGACTATACTTGGCTAATCTTTAAATTTACTTATTTATTTATTGTGGAGACAAAGTCTCACTGTGTTGCCCAGGCTAGTCTCAAACTCCTGCCTCAAGCAGTCCTCGCAATGTGGCCTCCCAAAGTGCTGGCCTTATAGGCTTGAGCTACTGTGCCCAGCCCACAAAAGCAAACCTTCCACCAGAATTGAAAATTGCATTTGTTGTTGGTGGACCCTGTCATCCTGTGGTTGTTAGAAAGTTCTCACTCTGCCTTTCCATAGCCACAGTTGTCGGATGCTACCTAACTTCAGCAATATGTTTTTCCAGGACAGCAAGCAGTGTGTTTTCATTCATCCCGCCATCAGGCCATGAGTGGGAAGAAGGTAGGGCTGGGACCTAGTAAATGTTCATGAAGTTTTCAGCGTTTGAATTCACTTCATTATTCAAGTCCTTTTCTTGGTGTAATACTAATTCTTGATGATATGAAGAAAAGTTTATTTCCAATGTTCTTTTTTGTTTTTCAGGATGTATATACAAAGACGATATCTTTATGGTCGTATATCAATAGCCAGCTAGATGAGTTTTCTAATCCCTTCTTTGTGAATTATGAAAACCATGTGTTATATCCCGTTGCTAGTCTGAGTCATTTGGAATTGTGGGTAAACTATTATGTACGATGGAATCCACGGAAGAGACCTCAGGTATCTTTTTGTTTTTCTTTTCATGAATGAGAGGGTATGCCTTTTTTTCCAAGTAAAGATGGCGGTATGAAAATGTGTTAATGGTAGATATTCACATACCATACTAACTGTCTTCTGCCCTTGCCTGTCAGGGTTCAATCCTTTGCATTCATGTTCCAGGAGGTTCTGCCCGTACACCAACTCTGATGCTGTTTGCTGGGTTAAAGTTAAAAACCTTAGCACTTCTGTCTCATACTGATGAGGTACATAAAATGCCATGTGTTCCAGTGCTTGACCCTTTGTCTTATAAACTACTTTACTGCAGGTCTGGAGGGTGAGGTGGCAGCCCTTCTCCCTGTTTCCACAGAGACGTGGTAGAAAGACGTGGAAAATGCATCAGGTTACAGTACATAGACCCTGTTAGTCCAGCAGTAGGAGGGCAGGTTGCTGAGTCACAGAACAGGTGCTCCTTTGAAGAAGGGGGAGAGTTTGCCCCTCCCTGCCACACTTTTTCACTATAATATTTTCTGAGATTGAACAAAATTAGAGAATGGTGCACTACAGGGGCCAGTCCGCCAAGCCTGTGTCCTGTCTTTGTGTTCAGTGGCTGAGCTCTGGCTGCGGGTTCCTGAAGGGCTCCCCACATCCTCCACTGTGTTGTGGTTTGGATTCCGTCCTGCCCTGCACTCCCAATCTCCACCTGGGTGGCCAGGGCGTGATTGGTTCTGGGTGGTGAAGAAGACGGGTAGAGGCAGCCCATACCTCCATGGACAGGTAACTGTCTGCTGAGACTTTTCTTTTTCTTACTCATTTATTTATTTATTTATTCATTTATTTAGTTAGTTAGTTAGTTTTTGAGACGGAGTCTTGCTCTGTCACCCAGGCTGGAGTGCAGTGGCATGAGCTTGGCTCACTGCAACCCCTGCCTCCCAGGCTCAAGTGATTCTCCTGCCCCGGCCTCCCAAGTAGCTGGGATTACAGGTGCACAGCACCATGCCTGGCAAATTTTTGTATTTTTAGTAGAGACAGGGTTTTGTCATGTTGGCCAGGCTAGTCTCAAACTCCTGACCTCAGGTGGTCCGCCCGCCTCGGCCTCCCAAAGTGCTGGGATTATGGGCGTGCACCACTGGGCCAGACCTGAAATTTTTCTTTTGAGTTGAATACTCTCAGAGTTTAACTGCAGTCCATCAGGAGCGTGTACACAGGGCATTGTTAAACAGCATTGCTCTGTCAGCCAACGATACAGAAATCTGTCTTTCCTCTCCATCCTCCTGCTCCCCCATCCCTCTCACCTAGGGTATTCCTGATCTCCATATCATCTCCATGCTCCACTAGCCATGGGGCAGTCTGAACTGCTCATGTTCCTTTTCAGCTGCCTGGCCCTGGAACCTCAGGGATACGTCACTATAGTACCCCAGCCTGCCAGCTGGAAAGCTCCCTCACTGGTAGCCTTAGCTCCATGATCCATCTGCTGGGTGTGCCCCGCTGCCCCAGGCTGCTGCTTGGCCACTCCTTACTGGATCCTTTGCCCTTTACCACAGACCAGGCTGGTCATCACTTGCCTCCTCTTTCCCAGATGGCTTTCTGTTTTGTTCCACACAGCTTCTGCTGCAAATGCTTTTCTCCTCTGGACCCTCTGAGTTGGCCCTGCCACCCTTACGACCTCAGGAGTGTTTTCCAGAACACTGTGATCGGTGCTCACTCAGCCCAGTACTTGTACGCTGGGCCTGGGGAGGTGGGAAGGAGTCCTGGCTGTGGGGGAGCTCCTGCATCCCAGGGTTGCCCTTAGCCACATTTCCCCTGTACATGCCCTCCCCCTGCTTGAAGCAGATGCCCCATGTGAATGAGCCACCCTGTGTGTCTTCACATGTATGAAAACAACTAGTGTTTGATCACCTCTTTCAGCTCTTCCCAGTCTTCCTTGGATAGGAGAGACTTGCATCTGTGTCCCCCTCCCACTAGCCAGGGAGCTGCTGGGACTCATGCTGCCCTGGAGCCTTTCCTGTTGAGCGCCCTCTTCTCTGTTCACCTAGTGCTCTGGTGGCCCTATGTTTGTTGCCCAAACTAGCCTACTTTGAGAAAGAGAGCGGAGGTGCTGGTAATAATCGGTCTGCAGAATTCCCCAAGGTATTCAGTACTGCACTGGCGTATTTGCCTGCCTGCTGTGGCACCTACAGACCACAGGCTTTGAAACCACAGGGCCCTCAGGATCTAACATGGTGTTTGGCAACTAACAGAGACTCGACAAATGTGACTGACTGAATGCATGAGTGAATGAAGAGGCGCGCCCCTCAGCTGCAGGCCAGTTCCTCCCGCACATCTGCTCTCTCCAGCCCCTTGAACCTGCGTTTATTCCTGCTACCTCTGGTGGCTCTTGCCCCTCAGCCTACAGAGGACTCACACCTGCCCACCCTAAACATGTCCTGTCCCCACTGGCCTCTCCCTCAGGTCTCCCCTCCACACCCAGTCCTCTGGGATATTGGAACAGCCTTCTACCTACTCTCCCTGCCGCAGTCTGCCTTGAGTCCACGTTCCACCTTCCTGCGGAGAGGCCTTTTGCTCCTGCTTGACAGCCCAGACATCACCTTCTGTGGCTGCCCAATGGCTCCAGCTCCCCACGTCCTCCGCCACTTGGCTACCATCTGAGCTTCTGGCATCATCTTAGCTTCCTTCTTCCTCTTTAAAAAAAAAAAATTACATTTCTGGCTGGGCACAGTGACTCACGCCTGTAATCCTAGCACTTTGGGAGGCCGAGGTCAGAAGTTTGAGACCAGCCTGACCAGCATGGTGAAATCCTGTCTCTACTAAAAATACAAAAATTAGCCAGGCGTGGTAGCGCACGCCTGTAATCCCAGCTACTCAGGAAGCTGAGGCAGGAGAGTCGCTTGAACCCGGGAGGCGGAGGTTGCAGTGAGCTGAGATGAGATCGCGCCACTGCACTCCAGCCTAGGCGACAGAGTGAGACTCCGTCTCAAAAAAAAAAAAATTATATTTATCTCTCCCTTTAGACTTCCTGCTCTGCAAGACTAGTCCCCGCTTATTATTAATTGATCTTTTAAGGTATTAATCTAATAACTGCTTGTCATTAGATTGAATCCTTCCTCAAATGAGAATTGAGTTTGAAGGCGAGCTGTCTTTGAAATGGCCCATGTGCCCAGAAACTATCAGTGAGCATGAGAGGTTGCTGGTCCCATTAGCATCTTCTGTCCTGGCTTTCAGCCCAAGACGTCTAAGTGCAGGGTGACCTGCTGCCCTGTCACTGGAGTCCGGGTCCAGCACTGCTCTCCTTTCTGACCTCAGGTGCATTATTTAAGATGCTAAACACAGGGGCCCATCAAGCACTTCTTGCCAGTCAGTGGTCAACTTGGGAACCAAAGCCTACATCCCCCTTCCAGCACCTTCCTCTTCACTGGTGTGTATTTCTGCTTAGGCATTTTGCTGAGTTTTTCCGTCCTGGGTGGCTTCTATTTCATCTGTTTTAGCAACAGGGAAGACGGGCTACAGAGTGTCAGAAGTCACTATGTTATTTAAACCACACAGGGTTACCAGGTAATATTCTTGGTGACTCAAAGGACCAGGTGGTTGGTGGAATGTCATTAACATTAGCAGAAAATCCAGCAGAACTATGCCTGATCTGAAGTGCCTTTGGCTAAACGGAACCTCTCGATTACTGCAGGAGGCCCCCGTGCCCCCGCCATGCTCCCCCTTGTGCAGCAGGTTGCAGAGGTGAAGAAATGCTGAGCAGCAGAGAGGGTTAGAGTAGGGTCCCACAGGGGCACACCCAGGCTCAGATTCTTGCCCCCCACGTGAGGCAGGGAACAGATCTTTCCTAAAACCTACAAACTGCGTGACAGATCTGTTCCCAGATGTGGCCAGATTCTCACACACGGAAGCGAAGTCACCTGCAATGATGATGATGGAAACCACAGCAAAAGCGCCTGTAAGCTGCAGTCCTCTTGTGTGCCAGTGGGCTGTGTACACACATGACCCCAGTTAACACTCCCAGCAATTCCACGATGCAGAGAATGAGGGAAGGGTCAGACAAGCAGTGACTTGGTTGAGATCTTGCTGCCCAGTGCATGTAGTTGTGGAAGGATGCCCCCGACGGGGTCAGATCCCGTCTCTGCAGTGACTCACCGCCTGATCTGCAGCAGGGTCCTGAGCCTTGCTGGGACCTCACAGGGGATTGTTGATCAGGAAGTGAATCCATTCCAAGTGCACTGTGCTCGGAGGGTAATAGGTGGGTGGTCCTGCTTTTTGCATTCTCCCTCCACTGTGCTACACAGAAGAGAGAACCAAGAAAGAGTCCATGCGCCACAGCTTGTTATCCTATATGCAATAGGCATGTGTCGGACACCTCCTAGGTGTGGACAACAGTGTGTTGGGGAATGAGCTGGGCCTTGGTGATGATGGACGCTGGGGAGGTAGGTTGGAGTTTGGACTTCATTCCAGGGCTTGCGGGAACCATCCCAGGGTTTGCATGACAAAGCCAAGTGTATGTTCTAGAAAGCTCACTCTGGCGGCACCGAGGTGGATGGGAATGGGGGTTGGGGAGTGCAGTGAAGACAGGCAGAGATCAGTGGCTGGTGTGGGTGTCCAGTGACAGGGCCTGAGGAGCCTGGTGGGGCAGAGAGGAGGGGGAGGGGAGGGGAGGGGAGGGAGTACGGGGGTAAACAACAGGGGAGATGCAAGCCTGTTGGGCCTCTTTTCTCTGAGAAGGCAGTGGCTCAATTGGCTGCCGAGAAAGGGGTTCTCTGGGCATCCATCAGAGGATGGCTGGGTGTGGAAGGCCCATGGGCATCCTGTTTCCTTTGGGACTGTCTTGCCTTATGTCTTGTGATGCTAGCACCCATGGGGCAAACATGACTGGCCCTTAGATGGGAATTTTCTCTAACGCAATCCTCTGTTTAAGCCTCCGAGTTTTCTATTCCTTCAGGCATGCCCTTGATTTGTTGCAAATGAACATGTGAGTAGGCTGGTGCGGTGGCTTATGCCTGTAATCCCAGCACTTTGGGAAGCCAAGGTGGGCAGATCACTTGACGTCAGGAGTTCGAGACTAGCCTGGCCAACATAGTGAAACCCCATCTCTATTAAAAATATAAAAATTAGACACAGTGGTGGCGGGCACCTGTAATCCAAGCTGCTCAGGAGGCTGAGGCAGGAGAATCACTTGAATTTGGGAGGTGGAGGTTGCAGTGAGCTGAGATCGTGCCTCCAGCCTAGGAGAGAGAGTGAGACTGCACTCCGCCTCAAAGAAAAAAAGAAAAAAAAGAAAAAGAAATATGTGAGAAAAGATGCAAACAGCTGGTGAAGAAGTGATAGCAGTGCGTTGGAGCAGTGCTGGGCCTCTGCCCTGGGTGTGTGTCGGTGGTGTATTTCCCTGCGTGTCTTGCTTCTTGCTGAGGCCACATGCCTGTAGATGGATAATGGGAGCTTGATTGCAAGGCCTTCCCTTATCTGATCAGAATTAAATGATCCTACAGACAGGAAAATATACCAGATGGGTCCTAAGGGTAAGAGAGGAGCTGGTGCCACCTCCCAGAGGCCTCTGGGATCTGCCTTTGCCATCACACTCCACTCCTGTCCCCTCTTTTCTTCCTGTGACCTGCCCAAGGGGGCCATTTGTTCTCAGCCCATTGGGTGCTGGTTACTGAGCACCCTATTATTAGAGGGACCTGGCTGCTGTCTTGCAGTCTTGCTTTCATCCTCCTTCCATCTCCCCCCTCTCTCCAGGAGGGCTGATCACCGTTGGCACACACGGTGGTACAGCTCAGTCTTTGAGGGAGCGGGGACAGGACCTGGTGAAAGGTGAGCCAGAGGGCCAGGCTGGAACCAGACTGCAGAGGGCCTTGAGGCCCCCTCAGGGCAGGGGGAAGAAGCCCCTGGAAGGTGTTATGTGGCCAGTCACAGGGCCTGGCTGAGGCTTAGGAGCCAGCCCTGTGGCTGCTGTTTACACACGGGATCAGAGACCAGGGAAGGCTGGAGAGCTCCCCAGACACCACCCTGTTTCTCCCTCAGCCCCAGTCTGAGGCTCTGGTCAGCCTTGCCCCCAGCCAAAGAGCTCCAGGCGAGAAAAGCTGGGTCTTGGATGTCTCGCACCCTAGTAGCTGCTGGGGACAGCTTAGGCGAGTGGGTTGGGTGCTATGACTATAAAATAGCAGGACTGGATGTCCCATATGCCCCAGGAAAACCTTTCTTGTTTATATTCACCCCTGTCCCGCAGTTGATGGGTTTAAAAGAGAAAAGCTAATTAGGGTGAGGCATTGCGGTGATGCTGAGCAAGGAGCAAGGGCCTGGTCCCTTGGGGAGGCTCCCCACCCGCTACCGGCACTGCCCGCTCCAGGGGCCTTCTGGCAGATCCTGCTCCGGTTGATGAAAACATAGCTTCAAGTTGTAGAAAGTGCTGATTTAACAGAAGGATTTTCAGTCAGCAGAGCTATTTATAAAAATGCAAAAATACAGAGATAATGGAGATGCTGGAAAGGGGTCTGCGTGTAAACATTTCTGACGCAGTCTTTAGGACACTGCTTGCGCCGAGTCTGCACACGGTGCCCTTGGTTGATCCGTGGTGCGCAGTGTCCCCACACCTGCTTGTCTTCTGAGAAACTGTGGGAGCCTCCCCATGGTGCCTTTTCATCCCGGCTCAGCAGCTCAGCCTCTGGAGCTGCAGGACAGCCTCAGTGGCAGCCAAAGCTCATGGAATGGGGTCCCATTGTCCACCTGACGCGAGATGAGTCAACGCCTCAGGAGACTTTGGCCACTCCAGGAGTCTGGGTGGTGAAAAACTCCTGAAGCCAACAGCATCTCCATGTGGAAATGCTGTGGTAGGAGGATGGCCTGATAATGCAGCTTTGTCTCTGTTCCCTCCAGATGCCCATTCACCAGAATCTCAAGGAGCTGCTGGCCGTCAGGGCGGAGCTGCAGAAGCGTGTGGAGGGCCTACAGCGGGAGGTGGCCACACGTGCTGTCTCATCCTCATCTGAGCGGGGCTCCTCGCCCTCCCACTCCGCCACCTCCGTCCACACCTCGGTCTGACGAGCGAGGCCAGCCTGCTGCCCCACTGTCTGCCAGCGGCTCAGGAAAGGGGCCTGGCCATCACTGTTATGGCTGTAGCTTGTGATCTTGTCTTTTAGGATTAGGCCCAGGGACCATTTGTGTGGCTAGGTGACAGCTCCCACTGTTGGCAAGTGCTTTTTGTTTTGTGAACAGCCCGTTACCCTCCTGTCAGCGGTTTCACAGGGGAGCTGTCTGTCACATCCACCCTGTGAAGCAACTTCTAGCGTCCAGGCAGCTTGGGAGAAACTAAGTGAATGGATTGCAGTACTGAGGTTCAAGAAAGCTGTGCGCCATTTCTTTCCAAGTTAAATCGTTCAGTAACAACAAACACCATTCACTTCAAGACGCATTGCCAGCCCCATGGCTTCCCTCAGCTCTTGGCCACAACTTGAAAACTGTTTTGAATGAAGTACTTGGGGAGAAGACAGACCACTGCCCTCTGTTCCACAGTTCTCTTCATGCACGGGGTCCTCCTGTAACAATTACTGTTGTGTACATATAAGGTATTTTTAGAGAAGAGAAACAGGCCTTTATTTTCCTATGTCCTTTTTTACGTTTAGAATAGTCACCTGAGGAGAGATCAGCTCAACTGTACTGTGGGAGAAATTATTTTCCAACAAACCTCATGCTCATTTTTCTGTGGTGCATTTGAAATGGGATTTGAACATGGTCATTTCAAGGACAACGTGTTCTGTCCTCACCTCACTCTGGTACTCACCTCTTGGGGCGGCTCAGCCCATTCATGGGGACAGCACCAAGCGGCCATGCTCAGTCTTCCAGCCCCGCTGAGGGTAAACCGAAGCCTCTGGCAGCTGTGCACAGGTGCTGGCCTCTCGCTCCTTCAAGGAGCACTGCCTGTCACTCGCTCCTGGGCTGTCTGGCCATGCTTCCCCCCACCACTTTACCGCTGCCAGCTGCCAGGATCGAAGCAAGTCTGCTCTTACGTTATTTGCCTGTATGAAATCATTTCTCATTTTATCACAATTCCTTCAACTCAGCTTACTCACATGGCTGCCTGTTAATATTTGAAAGCAGCCACTGTGCTGTGGCTTTGGTTTGGAAAAGCATAGCACGCACTTCCCTTGGTTTTCCCTTCCCAGAGCCGACCGCAGCTGGTCAGCCCTCTTCCCGCTCCTGAACCTTTACTGACTGACTTTGAGCTCTGTGACTCCATCAGTCCTCGCAGGAATTAATTTACCACCAATTGATTCAATCCACTTGCGCGCCATAGCTCTGAGCTCCTCTGTGTGACATGCCACAGATGATTATTGCACACCTGGGTCCTGCCCCAGCAGGCCATGCCCCTCCCTCATGCTGTGCCCGTTGCTGCAACTTCCCCCCACCCCACCATGGGCTGCAGGAATTCAGCCTTTAGAGGCAGAGGTGGCTGCAGCGGCTCCTAAGGTCAAACCCCAGCGTGACTGCATAACAATGTTAGCTGGCTGTTTTCAAATTACTGGATTCCAGACAAAGTCCTACAAATTGGCCTTATTTTTGAAAATATGTTAAGGGTTTTTTAATAGAGAATGGATTTTTTTTTTAAAAAAACTGGGAACCTCCTGATTCTTACTGAAAATTATCCTTCTATAAGATAGCAGAGAGATTTATTCAAGGTAATTTGATAACCTAAAATCAATTCTCCATTTTTGTCACATGTGGGATTTGTTGCTAAATCATATTCGACATTAGCTTTTATGTTCCTAACATATCTGAACCTTATTTATGAATGGATAAACTGGATTATAGATATACTGATTTTTTTTTTAATGGGGACATTTCCCATTTTCTTCCCAGACGTATGCAATCCCCTGGCTGACTGGGACTATTAAACATAGTGTGGACTGGATGATGCCTTCGGCAGACCAGAGAGGCCAAGCTGTGGGGAGCTGGTGTCTGGAGTGGGCCCTGTGCGCCTCACCCGGCGGAGGCTGGGGGCTCCGCCAGCAGCACCCCACAGACTCCTATTCCATGTTAAAGAAGCACAACGGGTCATTTCCCTTTGTATGTTCCTAGTGCAGAACTGTTTCGAAAACAACTTGAAGCATAGTTTTGTTATCTAAGCAATTTTTGTTTTAAGTGTACTAGAATGCGAAACCTTTACGGTTCAGGTTTTTAAAAACTGGTACAGTATTGTATTTGTCTCATCTGTTGCACTGTATTTCAATCTGTAATTAAAATGATCTTATGTTTGCTTCCTGGTCTTTTTTAAGTATCTCAGATTTTTCCTTTGAGGAAAATCAGTAATAAAATCACATGGATTGAATGTTGACTGTGTGTCAAGCACAGTTAATATATGTGAAGTACCTTTATGTGATTTAATTCATTCACTAAATCATAAATGTATCATGGGGCTTGCGTATTTTGGCTGAAACAGGAAATACTGTGAAGTCAGAAATGCCCTCAGCTCTAACCTTGAGAAAATGTGGACGACTCGGGGAAAGGTCTGGAGACACCTGAGAGTCAGCGCAATGAGTCAGTCCTTCGCGCGCAAGCGCAGTGCTCTCTAAGGCCCAAACTGCCCCCACCCCAGAGGAGTGTTCACCTTTTCAGGGCTAAAAAGGCCTGGATGAATTTGCAGCACCCTCGGTGTCCTGTGTGTGTCAGTCTTCTTGTGAAGGGTATGGGGTCCCTGTCCTCCTCCACACACGTCACTACTGAGTGAGCCAGAGCGCCCGGTATTTATTAGGCACAGAGGATGCCCAGGGGGCTGCTTGCCAGTCAGCCTTCCCCAGCAGTGAGATCAGAGCAGCAAGCAAGGCCGGGAGGGCCACTGCACCAGGCCCCCGCTAGCCACGCAGAGCTCTGCACAGGAGACGTACCTGGTGGTCTCAGGTTTGAGAGGACCTGGTGCTATTTCACTAGAAGCAAAGGTTGGCAAAACAAAATGAAACAACCGGCCTCCATGTTAAAGCCCAGGGTCCACTGCATCTTGTTTTCATGGTGAAATGCCCTGAAATGTCTTCTCAATTTGAAGCCAAGATGCCAGCTGATGAGAAGGACAGACTTTATCCCAAACAGGCCACTCTCCATGAGGTTGCAACAAGTGACGAAGTGCAGGGTCCCTTTCTCACTCAGCTTTCTGGTTGAAACAACTGCGCGTAACTGGAACCTCCACTGGTTACTGGCCTGCTTTGAAGGCGGCAGAGCAGTCGATTTGGGATTTGCGAGCCTGGGACTCTGCTGCTTCCAGACCCCAACCGGGCAGCCCCGGACTCGGCAAGCCATGTAGCCTGGGAGCGGCCCCGCAGCACTCTGCTCCTGCCTCCGTCCTCTCTAACCCCAGGACATTGGTCGCTCCACATCCCCTGGCCTTAGCTGCTTGTACAGTGAGGGGCCACTCTTGGAAGTCCCGACGCTGAGCTAGTCACTAAAGGGTAAATGCAAGCTTCTAGAGAAAAACCTTCGGCTGGGGGTGGGGGGAGGTCAGCTCTGCATCATAAATTACTTTAGGGAAAAGCAGCAACACTTGACCAAGGGCATGCCTTAACACCATCAGAAGACAAGGATCTGCTTGGTGCCATTTTATTTAATGCAAACACGAGACAGTTTACAACTCGCACCTGGACACAAGCACATGAACGGGGAATTCTAGAATTTTGAGATCAGTCTCCATTTCTTCCTCAGGGCCCCGGCACTGAACCCCAGCCACTGTCCCTGAGCCTCCCCTCTGGGTCCCACCCCAGAAGCTACCCACACCTCCTTCTGCCCATCTTTATCTTTCCTTGAGCTGTAACTTCACCCAGCATGTGCTCAGAGTTGTTACAAATTTTCTCTGCCAAATTAAGCTGATAGAAATGAGCCACTTTCAACCAGTCCTTCCAGTCCACCGTGTCTCCCCTCTCACCTGGGACAGGTCCATGCTGGCCAGTTCAAACTTCAGCTAGACACATGGTGACTAGAGCCCGCGAGGCTTCTGCAGGTGGCAGTGTCGAGCAAGTGTAAGATGTATGTGGGAAGGAGAAGCTCCTGAAATGAACGTTCTGCAAACAGAAGGCTGAGGGGTCTTCCAGGCATGTCCAGTCACTAGGAGCCGCCACCGGTGGGCTTGAGTGCCAGGCTCCAGGCTTTGTGCAGAAAGCACCCGGGTGGGTAAGGGAGAGCAAAATGGGTCTCTCAACTGCAGTCAGTGCTACTGCGAACGTGGTTTCACAGACAGTACATATTCTACATCACAGCTCTAGGGTTTCAAGGACTTTGCCATCCGATAGGCCTCACCATAAAGATAAGGTGGACAACCCCTGAGGTCACGCTGTCCAGGTGGCGACAGGCCATGCATGCCAAAATCCCCCATAGCCACCTCCAGCCCAGCACCAGCCAGAGGGTGGGGCCAGCAGCTCTTGATGTACTCGGTGTCAGGGCGGGACAAGCCTGACAAAATTCACAGTCTGGCCAATAAGCGTGGGAGGCCCTGGAAACAGGCCAATCCTGCAAGCCACTCCACCCTCACTAACTTCCTGAAGCACTGGAAGCTTGAGACCAGGCCAAGGTTTCTTTCCTTCACGGCACCTTCAGGTCCCCCTTCAGCCACACAGTCCAGGTCTGTCAGGGATTACAAGGCTGAGCAGGAAACGGGGTGGTAAGGAGCCCACAGGCACGCACTGGGAATGGCCTCACGAGGCAGCCTGGAGACACAGTGCTACAGCTGACTACCCTCCACGACAGGCATGTTTGCAGAACAGACACGAGGCATGCGTTAGACAGATGCGTGTGGGGGCTACAGATTCCAGTGGTTTCCTTAAGAAACTGGAGCTGGCTCATCCCGCTCAGCAGATAATCCCGCTCAGTGGACAGCCCAGGGAACACATGGGGCCATCCTGCACACCAAAGAGGCCCGTGAGTTTTGTAAGATCCTGCCTGCCCGGTGACTCATACCTGCTTTCAGAAGTGCTTTCTGACATGGCAAACTGATCATCAGTAGACAGGGGCCCTAGACCCTAGCATGTGGTTCTGTCCCGTGAGCCTCTGACAACAGAGCTCACCGGGACAGAACCACATGTGGGCCAAAGGAACATTCCAGGAAACCAGCTCTGCTCCAGCCCAAAACCAGGCAGCTCCATGCCAGGTGAGGGGCTAGTCATGGGGTTCCTGTGTTTGCCACGGTGAGCATGGGTTCCCACGCACTCTCCCTCAGAACAGACAGGTAGGCTGACCACAGAGCTATAAAGTCACGTGTTTCACTAAACCAAGCAAATGCGTCTCTCCCCTCTCCTCCCCCGCCGCCCCCAATTACATTTTTAAGCAAACAAGCAGCATGATTCTGGCTTTGATGCTCGTTCTTGACATCGGTAGCTCTTGCTACCAAAATAGGAATAGATACAGGGTGGAGGGTGCGCACCTCTCCCCAACACAGGATAAAACTCATCTCCAATGCAGAAATGATTCCTAAAGACCTTTATCATGTCAACCCTAAGGCCACATCCAGTCCCCTATGGAATCAGATGGGAAACAGGCGTATGAATTGCTTCAAACTTATCCAGAGGATTTCTAAACTCTCAGGGCAGGACTATCATGAGATACATGTCTGCACTTAAATAACTGAAAGTCTCCACTTGGACCGGCTCTCTGGAAGCCCAGCAACATCAAACCCGGGATGGGGAAGACCGAAGTGAAACCATCATCCTGGGCGCTGCGTGTGTGTGGTGTTACTTAGTGCTGACTGGTTCGCTCCTTGCAGGGGCTCCAAGTGAAGTGGGTGCAGGCTGAGTTCCCCACCTGCAGCTCCTTGAGGTCACCATCAGGGTCTATGGGCAGAAACCTGCCACAATGAGCCACTCCAGTGTGCAGGGGTCACAGTCCCATGGGTTCAAACTCTTGTCCCCTAAGCATACATGTCATCCAGCCCCAGCATCATCTTGGCCCCCACATCCTGTGCTCAGTAAAGCTGGAGGCAGGCTGGCTTTGGGAGTTGGTGGCTCAGCAGTTCCCGAGGCTGGTGCTGGCTTTCTATCAGAGCTGGCTCTTGAATTTCGGCACCAAGTCTCAGAGCACCTGTGGCAGGGCAGAGAGACCAAACTCACAAACCCCCAGAGCTCGTCCGGAAAACTTAGACCAACAAGGAGCCGACGACACAGAGCAGCACAGCAGCTGTGGGTCCAAATGAAGGGTGGGGAGAAGGGGGGAGCCGGGTGACAAGCGGTGGCACCACTGTGCACGCCTACAGCTGGACAGGGCCCTCAGATCCTGGCTGCTTCGGGTGGTGGCGGCTCTGCAGACTGCGTGTGCAACGCGGAGTATTTCACTAGGGGAAGAAGAGGCCCATCAGAAGGAATTCTGCTCTGTCTTACATGGAAGCAGCAAATACAGCAGCAAGCAGGTGCTGGGAACAGAACTAGGTTTCCCTTTGTATCCTGGGGGGGAGCGCTTAGCCCTGCCTGTACAACTTTCCCTCTGGGACCCACTCCCTGTCCCCAGTCAGGACTGTCCAGAGCCTGGGAGTAGTTTTGGGCGGGTCAAGGGGAGATAAAGAGAAAGCTAGAGAGGCCCTGGAAACAGCTCAGCCTCCACCTCCTCGCCTAAAACATGAGCATGTTCCCGCCAGCACTGCTGGAAGGACTATTTTAAATAAAGTGCCCAACATAGTACCTGTCCACACAGATGTTGGCCTCATGGTGGCTAACTGCGGCAAAGCTCACGACAGTGGATGCGAAAGTGGAATCCATTTTTCCACATCTGAACCCAGGCCTATTTTAGTTAATTTGGTGCAGCACTGCCACCCGTCTTCAGCAGTGCTGTAGGGCACCCGGCTCCCCAGTACATACCACACAGGCTGAGCTCCTCCTGGTCTCCCAGGCCCAGTCCCTGCGGCTACTGCACTGTAGTTCCAGTGGCAACACTTGCCTGAGCTGCTCCCCGACCTCAGCAAGCCTTTCTGGACCTCCTCATTGGCATCCCATGGGCACAGGTCATATCGGCCTCGAGCAGTTGGGCACCCTAGGCCTGTGGCCTGAACTTATGCGACCTCAAATTTCCAACAGCTCCTGCATCCAGAAAGTGCTTGATGGCCACAGAAGGGGGAGGGAGTGGCACAGGTGTTGACAATAGGGTCTGGGTTTTAACCAAGTTCCCTCTTGCCTGTGGCAATTTGCAAAGGGAAAAGTTCTAGGTCTAGGTTAAAAGCTTCCCCATGGCTCTGTTCAGAATGTAATTGTTTTCGCTGATGGGGAGCAGAGGTGCCTGGGGCTCTGGCTCACACGAATCAA